TTTTAATTAGTTACTTTAAAACTTTATATTTTACTTTTTTATTTCCTATATTTCATGGGTTATATTTGATGTTCCGGTAGTACACATGTGATGTTCGGTAGTATACTTATGATGTTTTCGGTTATATTTTATGATGTTCACATAGTATAATGTGATGTTTTACTTATGATGTATTTGTGATGTTCATTAGTATACACGTGGTTGCCTATTCTATATTTGAGAAAATTCCTTCATTGCCACTAAAATTTATAGCACTTCCTTCATTGCCATCAAAATTTTCAAAATTCCCTGGCTGCCATAAAATAAACTTTGTGTTTCCGTGTTTGCCATTTTCATCACCTGCCATTAGCAACGCCGCCGTTCCGTTTCGTTCGCACGTGAGCTGCCGACCGCGCCGAGCCGCTCGGCCGCTTTCGGTTCGCGCGCCCAGCTGCCTCCTGCTTGCCGCGCCTCCGCGGCCATCCCTAGCCACGTGCTCGGCCCCTCCCGGCGCCCCATGTTCGCAGCGTAGCTGCTTGCTCGGTGCTTCGGCCTGCGCGTCCTTGAATCCGCCCGCTCACCGCCCGTGTCTTCGCGCGCCTCGTCTGGGGATACCACGCCTAGTCGCCGGCTCCGTCTGTGCCCGCGCAACACCGACCCTATTACGCGATGCGGGCCAGCACAATGAGGAGGCAGGACCGCAGGAGAGCGGGGTGGCGGCCAGGATGGATGCCATCGTTCCTTCTTTGGCGAGCGCGGGCGCACGGGCTGCTCGGGGGCATCTCCATCACCGGCGTGGGTGAGCTCGAGCCCCTGCCATGGCGGCGTGGGTGAGGTTCAGCCTAGCCACGCGTGGCACGGGGGTGAGCATGAGCCCCGGACATGGCGGCGCGGGTGAGCTATAGACCAACCATGCGTGGCGCGGGGGCGAGCTCGAACCCTGGCCATGGCGGCGCGAGCAAGCTCCAGCCCGGCCACGCGCGGCATGGGGGCGAGCTTGATGTTCAATCTTGCACCGCCATTAATTAGGACCTTGGGGACTATCATGTCGGCTATTGTTGGACCCAGGACGAGTGGGTAATGGCTAGCATTAGATACGCTGGTCCATTGATCCTTTCTGGAAAATTGGATCAGGTACTCAGACCAATTGAGGTACTTGGGTGAAGCAGGTTCCCCTGCCAAGATGTCCCGAAGGGCCAATTTTTCGGAGCGCTTGTTTGACGAAGATCGAACTCCTGTGAAAATTACTGCAATAGCGCCATTGGGCTGCTGAAAGCCTGGATTAGGGTTGTCATCTCCATCTTTGTTATTATCATCTTTGCCCTTGCCTTTGTTGGTCTTTGCATAGAACCCTAACTCTTGGAATTTTCTGCACTCGGCCGCCGTATGCTTGGCGTTCTTATGGAAAGGGCAGGGTAGATTCTTGAGGTCTTCAAATTTTTTGTTATTCTTGTTAGACTTCTTGGACCTGTCCATAGAGGCAAGGGTGTTATTGGGTCCTCATTTCCTATATATTGGACTGTCCACCCTGATTGCCCCAAGGGTCGTAGCTTCTGTTGTCCTACTGATTACGTGTGTTGACATTTCTTAGCATCACTCTTTACTATGTTGTTTCGAAGAATTTATTGTAAGAAACATAACGACATAATTGGAATTTAATTTTGAAACTCAGTTTAAAAGTTATAACTTTTTTTAACTTTCAAACGCTTTGCACATGGATGTCAGCAAAATCATTGCACATGCATGCATGGTATTCTGCGTATTCCTTTGTATGAGTCACTTCTCATCGGCACCCACTTTTCCGCCCAACATGCAGTTTTTGGGCCCACATATAATAAATATGCACCGCACATGATTAATTTTTGGTGGTCGGCGAGGTGCTAGGCGCCACCTGGTCGGATGCTAGCACTGCCCCATCTCCACACCCCTGATTGTCCATCAACCGAAAAGCCACAAAGGTCTCTCTGCGTCCATGCTACACCCAAAGGCCATGTTCAGTTAGGACGGGGTTGGTTGGGATTGTGCTCGGACCGTATTACATGGCCATGTTTGTCATGCTTGTTTCCAACCTTATAGTGTTTTTATGAAACCCTATTTAATGAACACATGAAATCATTTCTGCTCGATGTTCTTAAACTTCTTTTCATTTTTGGATTCAACACATGGGCAATGTATGTACCCTTGACCCTGTACATTATTTGCCACGTACACCATGATGGCCTTCACAAATGAGTCGATGGCTTCCACGAATGTGGCAGACATAATTTTCAAGTACATCCATCCATGATCCTGTTGACAACCAAATTTGACATCTTTTGTAGTTTGAGCTTTACAATATGCTTAGGCAATTTTTTTGGCCGGATTAGCAGTTAAATTCAAGTTTAGTTCGGCTTGGTTATCGAATTTGGTATCTGTTTATAAAGCTCTCATGTTTTAAATTATCAATCGGATAGCCAATATTGCCAATGGCTGATTAATCCATATGGAAATTAATGACCAGATATGTTTTGGGCATACTTGTGTGTTCAATTAACAAATGAAGCCAATTAAATTTTAGTATTAATCATGGCTATTATATTAGATTAATTGGGAATAATTGTCCAAGCACAAAGGCTGGGAGTGTGGATCAGATTATATAATATTTGTATTTATCGATATCTTGCTTCCTTGATTAATGATGTCTAGCTAGGAGGAAGAGATAGCAGCAGCAGACCTATTTGTAGGCAACATGACTATATAGCATACGCTATTCTTTTAACTATTAATTTTTGAATCTTATATTATATATTTGATAGCTAAAATAATCTCAAATCATAAAGTTGTTAACCGCATCGTCGAGTACTACAACTTTGGTGTTTGACTTTATTTCCATTCGATATTGTTAATCATGTCAAATTTGATTCAAGAACTTATAATGAATATTTGGATTTGTAAACCATCTCAAATTAAAAAGTTGTCAACTATAAAGTTTTAGATTTGTTTGTAAGAGTTATAATTTTTTTTGCAAAAAAGGCTATCACTGTTGGTTCGTTGGCAGTGTTGGGTGAACCTATGGCTGTCGGTTCGTGGCTCCAACCGATAGTGATAGTACCATGTCTACAAATGGTTTCTTTAAATGCCTTCTTTTATTTGTAGGGGTGGCTCACTTTAAAACCGCATGTACAAATGGTTTCCAAAACGAGCCGTATCTAGAAATCGATTTGTAGGTGTAGCTGGTATTTTTAGCCACCTCTACAGATGATCCTATTTGTAGCAGCAGCTCTAGATCCAGGCATCCCCACAAATGAATTTGTAGAGGCGGCTCTAGATCTTGCCGCCCCCATAAATCAATTTGTAGAGGCGGCTGAATCTAGAGCCGCCGCTAAAAATAGGCACCCAATAGTAAATTTACATAGTGAATTTCTAAATTTTCGAACGACCTCGGATAGACAAACTACCAAAAAGAAAGTTGTACATCTCAAAATGTTATACAACTTTATAGTTGCCAACTTTTTTATTTTAAATTATTTATTGAAATTCAAAATTTTCAAATGACCTTGCTGGAAAAACGACCAAAACAAAAGTTGTACAACATTGTATTCGCAACTTTTTCATTTGAAATCATCTATCTAAGGAAAATTATATTTGAATTTCTCACATTTGAAATTCGAAATTTTCAAACAACCTCGGATGGAGAAAGGAACAAAAACAAAAGTTATAGATCTCGAAAGGTTATACAACTTTCTAGTTGATAACTTTTTCGTTTGAAATCATTTATTCAAAGAAAATTATATTTGAATTTCTCACATTTGAAATTCAAAATTTTCAAATGACCTTGGATTTAGAAATGACCAAAACTAAAATTGTAGATCAAAAAAGTTATAAAACTTTATGGTTGACAGCGTTTCCATTTAAATTTGTTTTGGATCCTAAATACTCATTTTTAAATTGGATAAGCATAAAATAAGAAGGACAAATATCCTAATTAGGCACAACTGTCTAATGAGTGGAGTGCTTACGGAAGGGACGAGTGAGGCCATAGGTCGCTGGTTCAAATCCCCATAGTTGCAAGGCGCCATTTTCTCGCGTTACGTGGGAATTGCGACGGGCTGCATGCTTGTGGCTGGTTGGTGAGGTCTCCCCGCAATTACATAGCTTTTTTGCTATTTTTTGTGCCGGATTTGTAATTTCTAAAAAATAATTTGTTGGGGCGGCTCGTTTTTCAACTGCCACAAAAAATACCTAGTCGCCCCTACAAATCAATTTCTAGGAGCGGCTGACCAACCGCCCTTAAAATCGTTGATTTTTAGCGATGGTTGGGTAGGGGTGGCTGGCACGGAGCCCCTCCGTAGTAGTGGTAGATGATTTTATTCTTCTTTTATAAGGTCGGTCAAACTTAAGGTATTTTGACTTAGTGCAGCTCTAAAGTTTTGTTTTAGAGAGGGTGTAAAATAGTGATGGCCAAGATCACTTTTTTTTTAATGTTATCACTGACATAGATGGGCTTATGGGCTGTGGCAGCAGTTTTTGCTAATTACTTTCAAGGATGGACTGACCTAGAGAGTCTAAAAAAAACCTAGTGAATGTGCATGGTGTAGGCATCGGAAACCATATCCGGACCCACCGTAATTATAGGTCTGACCTAGAGAGTCTAAAAAAACATAGTTAAACCTAGTTTCTGTATTGTGATCTAAACAACTCTAATAATTTCAATGGTATATACAATTTTAATAACCATGTGAATGTGCATGGTGTAGGCATCCGAAATTAATAACACCAAAGAAAAAACATAAAAAAATTCTTGAGATATATGTAGTGGCTAAACAACAGAAGAGTTATCATTTCTTTCATAAACAGACATGATTACAACATCTTATAAGCTCGACCTTACAAGCCTACTACTCTTACAAGAATAGTTGGACCCTTTATTGATTTAATAATTCTAACAAAAATGTAACGAAGGGGCAAAGAAAATACATAATTCTATGACTTCAAATAAGGAAAGACGATGGGCTCCAACTTCAGATTAACTGATATGGAATTCAGGGGTAGGCGTTGCTGTATCCAGATCCAGCACCTGAACCACCACCAGTCCCACCATTTTGACTGTTTCCTGTGCCACCACCATTGCCATTAGCATTTGCACCTGCACCACTTGATCCCCGCCAATACCTATTAGCATAGCTAGAGCCAGAACCAGTGCCGCTACCGGATCCTTGAGCATTGGAATTCCAAGCACCTCCGGCTTGTCCTCCACCCCCACCTCCACCAGTTCCACCAGCATTAGAAGACTCTCCATAACCAGAATACACTCCTTGACTATATGTACTAGACCCTGAACCTGACCCTGACCCCAAACCATATCCGGACCCACCGTATTGGCTAGTTCCACCACCTGCACCACCCCCTCCAGCACTTGCATGGGCACTATAAGGACCACTATCACCTGATCCGGTGCCGGACCCAGACCCTGATCCCCCGCCATTCACATATCCGCCGCCCCCTCCATCTCCTGTGCCAGTCCCATCAGCACTAGAGTATCTAGCAACCCTTATAGCATTGGCTAATCCCATGCTCATGAGGACAATGAGCCCCAGTGATATCAGCTTTGTGCCCGCCATTGTGAGCTATTACTATAGAAGAGTGCTTGAGTGAGATGAGTTCCCAGCTGCATGGGTATTTATAGTGCTTGATGCCATGCAATGGTTCTTTTACCTTCATAGCATGCACATGTGGTAGTGGCAGTTCAATAGGAGACCAAGTGGAGGCTTTTAAAATCCACTGGAATTAATGGGGCTTCTTGACTTGATCATTAAGTACATGCAAGGAGCAAGATGAGTACATGGTACAAATTGTCTTTGCGCTAGTACTTGTTACGGTCTCTCTAGATGGTTAGCTAAGTCTCATCTCCATAGATAATGGATGGCACAAAGTTTTAGCATTCATTGGTGTTTGGAACGCCCATTGAAACTAAAGCTGCTTGCTCCGGTTTAAGTAGGTCACTTATTTGTATTCTTCGTCTCAGATATACAGTAAAGTTATCCATCAAGTCATTGCCGATTTTAGGACCGGCACCGATACTAAATGTGTGAAAGATTTTAGTGAGTGTACTGCTTCGTCTCATGTTTTTTAGATAACAGAAATTGTTCTGGTTTCGACCTCATCAAGGACAAGGCATTAGTCTAAAATTATTACAAAGAGATGGCCGCAGCTATAAACTCACTGGCAAAAGCTCTAGAAACATTGTGATAGAGTTCGACATTATTGGCCAATCCTAAAAAACAACCGCCATCCATGGGAGGCAAAAAATTGCATAGCTACTGACTCCAAGTTTCAGCAAGAAAGAATATGCAGTTCCTGTTGATCCTCATCAAGTCGCTGCAATGGTGCCCAGAGCCGTAGCCACTACATCGCCTTGAATAAAACCTGCATGAAAGCTTTTGGTCAGCATTTGTCAAAAAATAATGTCCTTTCTTGATAGCCATATGGCCCAACACGATCCCAGAAGCACCTGTCAACAACTTTATTAGCATATTATCTCGCCCAGCTAATAACACACTCCAATGGTTAAATAAATCATTTAAATATATAGCTGAAATAAAGCTGGGTCTAGTCCCATTAAAATTATTTGTATGTTTTGTCTCGATATATATTGTGTTGCTGGGCAAAGACACCATACACAAACTTTTTCATGGCTTTTGCTTGGGATAAATTGTTTCGGGTTGAAAAACTTGCAAAAAATATGCATTTCACGACAATATACTCTCATGCATGCTCATGACTCTGCATTTGACCATTCTCTCCAGCACTGCGTGAAAGATGCACAGCAGGTGACGTGAAAATCAAAAGATGCCGAGATCACCCATATGGTAATTTAACCCAGAGTTTTATATATCTTTTGTGATCAGGCTCTAGCATTATACTAAGATTAAAACTAGTAAACGACGACCTGCATGCATGAAGTCTCAATAGACAGCCAAAAAAAAAAAAAAAAAAGCACGTTTGAAGATCAACACAGGCATCCCCTGATCACCCGAACGATTCTATTCCTCATGCAGTGGTTGACGTTGCAGAGGTGACCTCGAGGTTTTCGCAACGACTTTGACAAATTCAGTCATGGACTTAAGAACTACTCCTATGTGTACCTGGAAATCTCGATAAGAAAGACAGCTCACAGGGTTCATTAATTAGTACAATGCAAGCTGTATAAGTAGCGAAACAATCCTTGAAGGCTTGAACCCTAAGCGTCCACTTGCAGCAGTTTGATAAGAGTGGATGGAAGTCGGGCCGAGATTGTCTGATAGCGGTCAGATAACAATGCGAAAAAAAAAATTCTTGCACAGCCATACCAGCTAATCTGCTAATGTAACAATACTAATAGTGTAAGGAAACATACTCCCAAAAAGAAAATGTAATGAAATATTAAAACCACCTATCTTCCTTCGAATTTAAGGATCGATCTGCTATCTCTTCCTTCACAAATGCCTCGTCAGTTGCTTTACAACACCGTGGGGACACTCGATGACTTGAGTGCATCGGTGTGTGGACGCCAATTAGGTCATACACACCAGGAAAGAGCTAGAATGCTCAATAGAGGCAGGCCAAGATCAACTTTTAGGTTGGCCGTGATTGAACAACATATTTGCACATGAACGCTTCACGTGGTGCCCCCAGCGATGAGCGTGATATGCAACAGACATTGCTGGTGAAGCCTCGTTGGGAGCATGATACACAAAAATTGTTTTTCACTTTCTTGTTGTAAGCCTGGGCAACACTAGCTATGTCTCTCTCAATATCCTATAGAGCATTCATGCTTTTGTTGGTTACCTCATCAACATTGTCCATCATTAATTTATGATATATAACAACAGATAGATGATTTTGCGTAGCCAAATCTATATGCGTATAGATTTACTTCAACGGGCAACGTAGCTTCTTGTCCGTATACTAGTTCAAAAGGAGTAACTTTAGTAGATATATGATGAGCGCATAGAGCTTCAGATAGAACCTCATGCTATCTCCTAGGATTGTCCTAATTAAATTTTCATTTTAAGAAAGCTTGATGATCAAAATCTTGTTACTTGACTCAACTTGGCCATTAGCTTGAGCATAATATGAAGTTGAATTGAGCAACTTAATATTATATATAATGCGGCAATTTTGGTCTCTTTGGCCTAGTCTCTTTTCTGATTTAATTGCTGCGTTTTTGTCTTCCATTGGTGCAGAACAATTCAAATTTGACATACCACATGTTCATTTACACTAAGAGCATGAAAAGAAATCCAAGTTTATTTTTCAAATTTGAATAAACACATGAAAGGAAAAAAACGACTAAAACCACAGTAGCAAACACTCGGTTCTAGACGCACAAACATCTCCAGCCCTACTCACTAGCAAGGCAAAAATTGGTAGGCATATATGCATGTGCATGTGCAAAATACGTAGCAGAATGATTCATTGGCATCGCGATTTTTTGAATTCGTTGGCATAGCTCATGTTTTGGCTATATACTACTACAGACTGCAACAGAAAAAGTAGACTAGTACGTGTTCTCATGTTTGAATATTCTTATCATTAAGATTAATGGTCTAGGTTTGAAGCAACTAGAGCAACATGAGGATGTGAGGAAAATCATCAAATCCTTTTCAAGCTTGACTACACTTGGTCATCTCCATTCTCTAAGAGAATTATCATGACAAGATGAGACCCAATGAAGCAATCAATAAAATATTGCTCATGAGCTCCGGATGAACATTGTGGCCAAAGAGAATGAAACATATATATATCTTTCACCTCCACAATTCTCAAGCACATATTCGAGAACATGATGAAAATTCAAGAGTGGGTGAATAGTGTGAAGACACAAGCTCAAGTTCAAGTGCTGAGTCAAATAGGAACTTCACCACCAAGGGCCCCAAGCAATTCCTCTTCTCCATGACATTATGCATTGCGCCATATGGACAAAGGTTATAGAAGGAATGTAAGCAATGACTACTGCTCTTCAGATAATGGAGAAGACCCATATGAGCCAATCCATGAACAACAAAGGGCCCTTAATTAAGAAGAAATATCATGTCAGGGTTCTCAAGGCTATTGAAGAGACGCGTGCAACCTTTCTCATCTCTTATAAGAAATTTTCTAGACAAGTTGAACTTGTTGAATGAGGACCATGAGGATCTCAAGGCCCATTGAAACAGATTGTCTCGATGTTTTGTAACTATTTCTGATTTTTACAACCGACACATGTGCAGTATATGTATCCATCCTTCCATACATTATTTGTGTTGTACGCCTTGGTGGCGTCCACAAAATACTTGTTGCCTACTAAAAATCTAATAGACATGGGCTCCAAAATATATATCCATCCGTGATCCATATGTGAATAACAAGATGGGTACAACGACCTAAGGATAGCAGAAATGACCTCTTTCACTCCCTTCTCTGTGATCCTCCTACAAGGCACTCAATCGAGGGACAAGAATGTCGAGCCGGTGAGCAGCCTCCAACCGCCTCCTTTACTCCGTTGTCCTCCAGTACCGAAATTATTAATGACACTTATAAACTCAGAGAAAATTATATATGTTGAAGTAAAGTATCCGCAAGCACACAGATAATATACCATTGTAGCATTTCACCCGGGAGTATATCGAGTATCGTTATTTATATTTTATCCACAGGGAGGATCTATGGGATTGTTTGCATAGAGATATTGACAAATATGTATACTTATGATAAAACCACTCTCATGCTATGGCAGGGGTAAGTCAAATAATAAATAAATGATAAGTGTGAAGCATTGATAATAATTCCAGAGATAGAAATAGAGACTCATAAAATATAGTATGGCTAGGCAGGAGATTCGGTAAGAGCAAAAGATTACTAAGTCATTCCTTATTTACTAAGTCTTTTGTACACCCAAGTATATACACTCTCATCTATAGCATAATTAACTCTAGATCTATGCATAAGGAACATTACAAAGGAAGATGAAGAACAGAGCTTGCCTCCCTTCGCAACCGTGTTCTACTTGCTCTACAAACGGGGAGTGGACTACAGAGGACTCAACGGGAGTGTCACATCTATGATCTACCACATGACCCAGAGTGTAGAATGCATCTGCAGGTAAATAATCTCAAAACACCATGCTTACATAAAGTCGACCACTTAACCCATGCGCATCTTGGGCTAAGCGCTTTGCGAACATATGCATAAACTCATCATCAATCACAACTATATCAAGCATATAACTAGAGCAAACTTGGAACATAATAAATATCAACATAATATTGAAGTAGCACAAAGTCATAAATAAAGAGATAACAATGGCTATACCAGTCTCCAGATGGTAGATCTAGAATCGTAAGCAATAGCCCACACTCTACTTGAACCTTGCTAGCTAGCCTATACTAGAACTTTGAAGAATTGGAGCTCTATTCTCTTCTCTCTAGAAACCCTAATTTCTGGTATGATCTTAACTTATGGCAGTGTGCTCTAGAGGGGGGCAGGGTCTGGTTATATAGGCTAGAGTGTCAATCCTGAGCCCTCGGATCAAACCGACTTGAATAAATGACATAGATGCAATCTTGGAGGCGGTGGAGAACCGACGTAGCGACGGGGGCTG